CAGACAGACAGACAGACAGACAGACAGACAGACAGACAGACAGACAGACAGACATAGAATTAATCTAATCTAGTGTTAGTCCAGCAGACAAAAGGAAATGTATTGACTTAGTGAAATGTTCCCAAAGTAGTTACTTAATCATAATACAACAAATATAGCTTAAAGGCAGGAAGGGTCTGATTATCCAAAATGAACATTACTTTAGCAACAGTAGGGAGAGGCGCATGACTAACATCAGTGGATTAGCAGTTATCACAACTATTTACACCCTGCTCAGTGTTGCAACTAAATGGTGAAGCAGATGTATTACCAGTCACCTCATTATCCACTGCAAACCATTAGATCATTGCTGGAGCATTGAGCACAGGATCCCAGTCTCCCCACTCCACCACTGCATGAGCGTAACATCTGGTAGCTGTGGTAGTCCTGACATATGGCAGTCAGCTCATTCTACATTAGATCAGGAAATATAGAGGAGCCTTAATATAATTCCATAGCAGAGCTTAAAGCATTGAATAGAAAGGGATATGCATGTGTTGATTGATTGGTTGCCTGACTCCAAAGTGACTCCCAGAAATTATATCATAAAAACATAAAACATTACCAAAACCACGTAATCAGTGCAAAATACAGTAGTGCAAATAAACACAGTGGTGACTGCTTCACTTCCCAAATGCTGTCCAGTCCAGGGCTGCCCAAGCAGGTGTGCAAGTTGTACACTGCGCAAAGGCGCCAAACAGTGGGAACAGTAGTAGGCCAGTGCTGCATTCAGGGGCCCAGGTTGGGGGAAGAAGCTAGTCCAGTTACTACTCTGAGCACAGATGTGCATGTGCCGTAGAAGAAAAGGGAGAACAAAGGGCTGGGAAGCCGCAGCTGCCACGTGATCTGACTTGACATTTTGGCATCAAAAACGTTTTGCACAAAGGCACCTTAAAAGTCAGCGGCAACAACAGCGGTTGTTCCTGTTCCAGACCAATTCATTCTTCAGTAGTTCCTGAAGGCCATCAATGTGGGTTCTTGACTAACTCCAGAAGGGACCCCACCTCATAATATGGGTGCTGCTCCCTTCATTGCATGGGCCTGGAGAACCATCAAAAGATATAAATCGGATGATTGCACTGGAATCATGCACACTCCTTTTATGTGGTTCTCTAGGTACTTAGGTGCCAAGCCATATAAGGCTTTATCAGTTAAAAGCAGCATTTTGAATTATACATGGAAACTATTGGTAACCAATGCAGTGACCATAAAACTGGTGTTATGTGATTCAACAATATTTGAGATGCTGCATTTCAAACTAATTGCAGTTTCTGAGTGGTCTTCAAAGGCAGCCCCATGTAGAATGCATTGCAGTAATCCAGGCAAGTAGTTATTTAAGTACATAAGCCTCCATGGATGGAGCTTTCCATTAGAAGTAGGACCACACTAGCTGGAGCTGGACAAAGGCCCACCCTGACAACTGCTCAGCTTGCCTGTCTAGCTGATGTTGTGAGTCCACAAGGAACCCCAAGTTACAGATCTGCTGATTCAGGGGGAATGACATTGCATTCAGAGTTATCACCAGAGCAAACATAGTTTTTCTAAACAAACTGTAACTCCACCTTGCTAGAAATCAGCTTCAAACTGTTTTATACTATCCAACAACTTTCAAGCACCAGTTCAAGACTTCCACAGCATCTCCGCCATAGATTGTAGAAAATATAGGTGAGTGTCACCAGCATACTGCTGGTATCTAACCTCAAACAATTTTACTTCCTTAAACAATCTTGTTTGTCAGAAAACTGCAGGGACTTGTCCAGGCAGTTACCAGGAGTTAACACTGATTCACAGACACCCCCCAAACAATTTCATATACAGGTAGTCCTCAGTTAATTATGGTAATTGGGACCAGAATTTCCTACTGATGGCACTGCCGGCACTCCCCATTGCTGTTGTTAAGTGAGGATCGCAGGGCATTAAGTGAGACCCAGGTGGCAGGCCAGAGGCAGGTAAGGCAGGTAAGTGCAAGAGTGGGGGGGGGGCTGGGGGTGACTGCTGCCAGGCAGGGGAGGATGCGAGCAAGTTACCAAAGTGACTTGTGACCTTCCCTGCCGGCTTCCTCATGGTTCTGGGAAGCTGGCAGGGAAAGTTGCAAATGGTGACTATGTGACTTTAGGATGCTACAACTGTCATAAGTGCAAATCAGTTGCGAAGCACCCAGATTACACTCATGTGACTACAGGGGTGCTGTGATGGCCAGAACTTCAAGGACCGGTTGTAAACCTCCTTTTTCAGTGCCATCATAACTTTGAACAGTCACTGAACAAATGGTCAGTGAGGACTACCTGAAGATATTAAGCAGAAGAATAGAATTTAATACTGCAGAGCCCCATCAGGGAGAGCCCACTGAAATTTCTTTCCCCCTCCACTGCCACAATCAGGTTCCACTCACTCAGGAAAGAACAGAACCATTGAAACACGGTGGCCCTGACTCCCAACCCCTGCAGGCAGTTCAGGGATATACCATGGTTAATAGTATACGTAGTATGGCACTGAGAGGTCCAAAAGGATGAAGAGTAGCACACTTCCCACACCCATATCCCAATGAAGGTCATCAACCAGACTAATCAATGCTGTTTCCATTCCATGTCTGAATCCAAACTAAATGGGCCCAGATAATCTATTTCTCTGAGGATGCCCTGTAATTAACACCCCATTACTTTCTCAACAACTTTCTTTAAAATGGGAAGCCTGGAGACTGGCAAACAGTTATCTTAAATTGTCTGATCTAGGGGTGCCTTCCTGAGAAGGGGTACACCATTGTCTCCTTCAAGCCTAGAAGAAACACCTGTTTTCCAATGAAATATCAAATACTCACTGTACCTAAGTAATCCAATGCCCCCAGCCCTCTGAAGTAGCCATAGGGGCATAGATGAAGCCTGGAGATGAGAGAGGTCATACTAGGGAGCAGCTACTCCACTTCATCAGAGGCAGAAAGAAGACCCAG